GCTCAAGAGCCCTCTACCGTTCCTGGCAGTGCCGCTTCTCCTCCTCCACCAGTGCCCATTCCTCAGATTGCAGCTCAATCATCGCCAGCGGAGGAGCCCAAAAAGAAGAGGAAGAAAACGGTGGCCAAGAAGGCTCGGACCGAGGAGACCTCCTCTGCCGCCCAGACGCCGCAACCAATCCCCATTGACGCTCTCCTGGAGCATTATGGGGTAAACTCAGCAGAGCAGCAGACCTCATCAGAGTCGCCACCAGTTATGTGGCGCATGAGGAACGTGATTCCTCTGAATCCCCCCGCCGAGCTGAGCACGCACCCACACCTCCTGCACTTTTGCCCCAAGTGGGGGTTGTCGATGAATGACCGAGCTCAATTTCCAGAAGCTGCTCGGGAGCTCATCAAGGGCGCGATGCTTCCACGGGATCACCACTTCATCCAACTCGCGTCCAACCCCGAGCTGCTGGAACACTTCTACCTAAGTGCAGCCCAGGTATCTCCTCAACCGGTGCTTCAACGAAATTTCTTTGACTTGTTGGTTTCTTATTCTGTGTTTGATCTGCAGCTCAACGTCGCTGGGGCCGAGCTGGCGCAGCGATACGAGAACATGGGGGAGAACCTCTCCCAGGCTGATGCTGCCAAGGGTAGGCTGTCAAATCAGCTCGAAGCAGCCGAGGCAGGGTTGGAGTCCGTGAAGAAGCAGCTCGCCGAATCTCAAACCGTCTGCGAGGCGGAGAAGAAGAAAACGGCCGAGCTGACCTTGCAGCTAGAAGCAAAGCAGAGGAAATCTGCCGAGCTGTCCGGCCAGATCGAGGCGGCTAGCGAGGAGGGTCGACAGCTGGGGTCAGGGATTTCAAAAAGTCTGAAGACTTTATGTAGGACTTGGCCATTCTCAATGGGCCAGTCCTGCAGGTAGGGTATGCTCAGGCTATGCATGATGTGCAATCTCTCAACCTGCCTGGGTTCGACCTGAGCAGATGGCCTGACTACAACCCCCAAGCAGTCCATCAGATCGATAGGCTCGTAGAAGGCTACTCGCATGGGCGCGACCTGGCCGCGCTGGTTGCCGACTCTTCCCTGCCTGCGACCTCCCCTGAACCCGAGCCTGAACAGCAGGGGAAAAATTAGGGAGCGCTTAGCATAGGCGTAGGTAGGATTTAGAACAAGATAGGGATCGAGTTGGCCAGATCGTTTTTGTATGGCCCCCCTTATGTACATATCTTTTTTTTGAAATGGAATAGATAGTCTTTTCATCCAACACTTGGTAAAAATTCTTTATTCCTTCTTAAAACCTTGAATACATTCTCAAGAGACCAAGTACGGGGCTAACAAGTTGCCGAGCTGACCTCTTCAGCTATTACCTAAAAAGCCCTTTAGCTTACCGCTGAGCTCTAACGAAAGAGCCTCAAATTCGAATTGTGCCAGGTGCGCGGAACTTCATCCCCATTGAGATAAGCCAATCTGCAGTACCCCGCGCGATCAGCTTCCCTTACTACGTAGGGACCTTCCCAGTTCGGGTCTAGCTTGCCTACCCCCGCAGCTCGGCTCACAGAGTTTCTTCGCAATACCAGGTCCCCTGGCTTGAAGTAGAGGTGTCTGACCCTAGCATTGTAGTACCGCGTGATCTGACCCATGTACTTAGCCATTCTTATGCATGCCTCTTCCCTACGGTGCTCGAGCAAGTCCAAGTTAAGCCGCATCTCCTCTTCATTGTCTCGGGCCACAAAGTGCTGCACCCGTCTTGAGGGTATTCTGATCTCCGCCGGGATCACTGCCTCGGTCCCATACGTCAGGACAAACGGAGTTTCTTGAGTGACCGTCCGGGGTGTAGTCCGGTAGGCCCACAATATGGTGGGCACCTCATCAAGCCAACCAGTTCGGGCAGACTCTATCCGTGTTTTCAAGCTGTACAGGATGGTTCTATTAACGTTTTCAACCTGACCATTAGCTTGTGGGTGCCCCACGGAGGTGAAGTGCCGCTGTATTCCAAGCTGGGAACACCAATTCTGGAGGGAGCTATCCGCGAACTGTCGGCCGTTATCCGAAACTAGGACCTGTGGTATGCCAAATCGGCAGACTATGCTTTTCCAAAGAAACTTTTGGATTGACCTGCTATTAATCGTGTTGAGTGGCTCGACCTCTAGCCATTTAGTGAAATAGTCAATAGCTACTACCAGATGCTCATGACCTCCGAGAGTTCGGGGGAATGGACTTAACAGGTCTATTCCCTATTGGAAGAATGGCCATGGGCTATAGAGAGGAATCATCTCCTGAGTTGAGGCGTGGGAAATACTGGCGTGCAACTGGCAAGGCTTACATCTCGCCACCAGCTCGGCCGAGTCCCAGAAGATGGTGGGCCAATAGTACCCAGATAGCATTCCCTTCTTGGCCAGTACCTTGGCCCGACGTGATTGCCGCAGATGCCCTCATGCAGCTTACGCAAGATATATCTTCCTTCCTCTGGTGTTACGCACTTTAGTCATGGCTACAAGTAGGACTTCCTATAGAGCACCCCTCTGTAAGTACGTACTTTTTCGATCTGAGAAGGACTTTGCGGCCCTCCGTCCTGCTCGAGGGGAGTTCTCTGTGGGATAGGTACTAGACAATGGGGTCCATCCAAGAGTTTACCCTCTGAATGACTGTGGCGTCCAACCGCTCATAGGCGCGACTCTTAACGACCTCCACCAATATCCCTCGATTTAGGGTATTAAACGAGGTAGAGGCCAACTTGGACAGGGCATCAGCTCTCTTGTTTCGGCTCCGTAGGATCTGCTCCAGGACGACCTGTTTGAACTGGTCCCTCAGCTCGCGTACCCTGACGACGTACTTCTTCAAAGGCTCTTCTTTGATCTCATAGCTTCCCCCCTACCTGGTTCACTATCAGCTGCGAATCGCTGTAAACTTTTATTAGTTCAGCCCCTAATTTCCGTGCCATCTCCATCCCCGCAATCAGCATCTCGTACTCGGACTCGTTATTAGAGGCTCTAAAATCGAACCTCAGGGCGTAGGCCAGCTCCTCCCCAGTAGGGCTGATTAGGAGGAGACCTGCTCCATATCCTTCCCTACTTGATGCGCCATCTACGTACAGCGTCCAAATCGGATCTGTCCGTCCTGCAGCTTCTGTAGCCCCTCTGGTCTGGGCAGCCCTTCTGGCTAATTCAGCCTTGACTGCATTTCCAGACTGTGTGACCTCGGCAGCATCTCCGACCTGACCGACCTCGGCTGCTTCTCTGGCCTGTCCGACCTCCGCAGTTTCTCTGGTTTGTTCGGCCTCAGCTGCTTCTCCGGTCCGTCCGACCTCTGCTACCTTGTTGGCCTGGGCGACCTTGGCAGCGTCTTCAGCCTGCAAGGTCTCATCTACCTCTCTGGTCTTTGTGGCTTCGGTAGCTTTCTTGGCCCGTAGGGCTTTGGCTGCTTGTCTGGTGTGTGCGTTGTCGTCGGAGTCTTTGGCCTTCCCGGCCTCACCTGCTTCCCTGGTTTGATCGACCTTAGTTCCGCTTGACCCAAAGGAAACACTCTCTGCTATGAAGTCCGCCAAGGCTTGAGCTTTGATGGCCGTTCTCGGCTGGTACCCGAGATAGTACTCCGACAGCTCCACGGCCCATTTCACCATTCGCCTCGAGACGTCGGGCTTAGAGAGGATCTACTTCAGGGGTTGGTCGGTTACCACTACTATGGGGTGAGTCTGGAAGTATGACCTGAGCTTCCGAGCTGCATAAACTAATGTCAAGACATACTGCTCCACCACCGAATACCTTGCCTCAGCCCCATGCAGAGCTCGGCTAACATAGTACACAGGTTTCTGAACCTTATCTTCCTCTCGTACCAGCACCGCGCTAACAGCTTCTTCCCCCTACCGCTAGGTAGATGAACAAGGTCTCTCCCTACTCGGAAGAAGTTAGAGTTGGCAATCGTGCCAAGTGGGCCTTTATAGCTCGTCGAACGCTTTCTGGCACTCGGAGCTCCACTCGAATTGCGGACCTCTTCTCAAGACATTGAAGAAAGGGGAGCCCCGAACAGCGATTTAGACAAGAACCTGTTCAGAACCGCCATCCTCCCAGTCAGGCGCTGAACCTCTTTAATGTTTCGGGGAGGAGCCATGTCCATGATGGCCTTGATTTTGTCCGGGTTAGCTCTCACCCCTTCTTTGGAAATCATGTAGCCCAGGAACTTTCCCGACCTGATCTGGAAAGTGCATTTCTTGGGGTTCAGTCGCATCCGTGAGCTTCGAAGGATCTCGAAAATTTTCCTAAGGTCAGTAATGAACTGCTCCTGAGTCCTGTTTTTTGCCAGCATATCATCCACATAGACCTCCATATTTCGACCGATCTGGTCCTTGAACAGTTTATTGACCAGCCTCTGATAAGTCGCACCTGCATTCTTCAGCCCAAACGGCATGGTGACATAGCAATAGGTGCCGCACTCAGTGATAAATGAGGTCTTCTCCTAATCCTCCTCGTCCAGGGCGATTTGATGATACCCCTTGAAGGCGTCTAAAAAGCAAAAAATCTCGTATCCCGAGGTTGAATCCACGAGCTGATCAATCCGCGGGAGGGGGTAGCAGTCTTTTGGGCAGGCCTTGTTCAAATCAGTGAAGTCCACGCACATCCGCCAAGCCCTTTCTTCCTTCTTGACCAGCACTGGATTAGCCAGCCAGGTCGGGTAGAAGACTTCCTTCACAATCTTGGCTTCTAATAGCTTGGCTATCTCACTTCGGACGACCTCGTTCCGCTCAGGCGCAAAACTCCTCTTCTTCTGTTTCACAGGTCGGGCGCTAGGATCCACGTGTAGCTTATGCACCGCTAGTTCGGAGGGGACCCCTGGCATATCATCCGCACTCCAGGCAAAAATGTCCGTGTATTCCTCTAAAAGGGATTCCAGAGAGTTTCGGGTCAGTTCACTTAGGCAGGTGCCGACCTTGACCGTGTGCTGAGATCGGTCAGGTCGGACGGGCAGCTCAATCAGCTCCTCATCTGTCTCCAGCCTCTCTCTCTTCTCCATAGGCTCCTAGGGCTCCAAGCAAGCTATTTGAGCCACCATTTTTTCCTTGCCCTTGAGAGTTGCAATATAGCAGGTCCTAGCCACCTTCGGATCTCCGAGCACCTCAGCTACCCCAGTTGGAGTAGGGAATTTCATGCTGAGATGTAAGGTGGAGCAAACAGCTCGGAGGGCGTTCAGAGTGGGTGGTCCCAGAATCATATTGTACAATGATGGCTCTTTTACCACCGCAAAATTTACTGGCACAGTTCGGCGCTTTGGTGACACCCCCACCACGACCATGAGGGTTATCATCCCCTCTGGTCTTACCGGAGGACCAGCAAAGCCAATCAAAGGAGTTTGGACCGGGATGAGCTGTCTGTCCTCTAGCTGCAGCTCTTTAAAAGTCTTGTAGTACAACATGTCGATGGCACTGCCATTGTCAATGTATACCTTCTTTACCTTGTAGTTGCAGGTGATGACCTCTATCACGATGGCTTCATGGTTATTGGAGGCCAAGGGCACTGCATCTTCTGGTCCGTAGATGATCTCCTCGTACATTTTCAGTCGTTTGCTCGAGCTTTCTTCGCTGGGAGGAGGGCGGTTGTGCCGCCGACCCGTATGACTATCCCCCCCAACCGGTCCTCTTGCAATAGTGTTGATCACCCCACCCAGATTCTGAGCTTCCGGCTCGGGAGTTCGGCAACGAAGCCCTTGAGGCGGGCCACGGGAGTAGCTCAGGTGATCTGATTTGGGCCTCCCCCGTCGCTGGTCAACCCGTTCGTCACGTATGAACTGACCGAGGTGGCCTCGTCTGATCAACTTTTCAATGTCTTTCTTGAGGTGACAACAATCCTCCATATCGTGTCCCACATCCCGGTGATATGCACAGTATAAACCCTGATCCCGCTTGTTTTTGTCCCCGGCCAAGGGTCGGGGAGGTCGGGAGAGCCCTTCTTGCTCCATCACCGCAAGGACCCGAACTCGGGGCACTGTGAGGGAAGTCTAGGGCTTATCTCCCCCCAGGGGCCGACTCCTAGGCGGGCGATCATAGGTATTCTTTCGCCCCTGGTCACGTCGCACGTCTCCCTGGTCGGCATTCCTTCTACGTTTGTCGTCCCTCTGCCTCTCCTGCGCGCTCTTCAAGCGATTGGCTTCCTCAATGTTGGCCTTCTCATGAGCTCGGTCCAGCATCTCCCGAACTGACTTGGGAGGTCTCTCTACGAGCTCAATGTATAACTTCTGCTTACGCAGGCTGTTGATGAAAGCGGCCACGACCACCTTGTCGTCTCGATCGCAGACCTGGAGGGATTCATTGTTGAATCATACCATGTATTCGCGTAGTGACTCCTCGGGCCTTTGCTGGATAGTCATGAGGTGAGCAGTGCTTTTAGAGAAGGCTCTCGACGCAACGAACTGTGCTGAGAACAGTCGTGCGAGTTGGGTAAACGATCGGATCGACCTGGGGGGAAGTCCCTGGAACCAGTACCAGGCCTTTCCCTCCAGGAACATTGGAAAAGTCTTACACCTGACCGCGTCCGCGGCCGTTTGCAGGCGCATCTGCGTCAGGAATGCGAACAGGTGGTCCTCCGAATCCGTAGTTGCATCATAGGATTTCATGTTTGGAATTTTGAATTTCGCGGGCAGCGGGTAGTCCTCAATATCAAGCACAAAGGGGGAAGCAATGTACCTGTCCGCCTCAGGATCCAACAGTAGGTCCAGCTCATCTTGTACTTGTTGTCGCTCTTTCAGGGGGGAGAGCTCTCCCCTTGAGAACCTTCGGATGGGCTTTGGGTGCTCAGTTCGGGAGTTCTTGTGGGAGGGTTCTACGACTTCGACCTGCTCACGCGTGAGTTCCTGGCGCTCCCGCTTTGCCCGGGGCTTGGGGCTCCCTGTTCGGGACTCTGACCGCTCTACTCCTTCTACTCCTTGGACCTTAGGCTCCTTGTCCGGATGACCTCCCGACTGTCCTTCGAGATAGTTCATGATTGCCTCGAAGGTAGGCATGTTTTCCGCCACCGTCTGGACCAGCTGTTCAGGCGGGATTCGTGAGGGTCCCGTCCCCTCTTCTCCAGGAGTTGGACCCCGGGGGGGGTTTTGGGGGCCACTTCGTTCGGTCCCCTTGGATCCGTCAGCGTTCCTCTGAAACCTAGTCCTTGGCATGATTCGCAAAAGAAGAATAACGTGTTTCCCACAGACGGCGCCAATTGATGCGACGGCCAAGAACGCAGTCCGAGCTGATGCTATGAACCGAACTAGCTGGGTGGAACCGAGATGAGGGGGAAAAGTTGAACAGACACACCTACAAAGAGAGAACAACGGCGGGGCTCGGGTCTCCGGAATAACTCCGACGGCCAAGTCAGCAGAGTTTAAAGAGAGGGTAACAGTATAGAGTACTGTTGAAGGTATACCTTAAGTTGTCAAGTAGTGCTATATTTATAGGCTTGACGAGTAGTAGTTTCCATGTAGATGTGGGTGTCCCCTTAGGGTTCGGAGTCCTCTTAGGGTTTTGTACGATAGCCCCTGAAGGTTCGGAGGCGGCGGCCCACCAGGCCCATCCACTGAGAGGCGGCGACCAAGGCCGAGCTGTCCTCCCTTATTCCGAGCTGATACGCCCAGGCTGCGGGATCTCTATTGCCGACCTAGCGTGTGCCGTCAGCCGAGCTGACACGTGTTACACGTGGGTTTGCCCCACTACAGTGACTTTTCATGCAACCCTTATAGTTTCAAAAACTATACATAACCCCTTCACAATTTGGATCAAAGTGTCAAAGTGACTAAAATGATATTCTGTAATGAAACCCAAGAAAATGTCGAGAATATCCTTGTTTAAAAACTAAATGGCGCAGTGATCAAAATATATAAACGTAATATGCATGACACTTTAACCCCTTATGATTTATGTTCTTCTATATAACCCCCTGTAATTTAGTACTTTACTACATAACCCCCTTATGGTTTTAAAATATATACATAACCCTCTTATGGTTAATTAATAATTTTCAATGTCACAAAGAGTTATTTTTGATATTTTAGTTGGCTCTGTTATGGAATGCAAATTCCATGACTTTGATACTTTAATCCAAATTATGGGGAGGTTGTATATAGTTTTTCAAATCACAAGGGAGTTGTGTAAAAAAGCATTAAACCATAGGAGGATAAATTGTATTTTACCCTTAAGAAAATTGAGGGGCGCAAATATGAATTATGTGACCAATCAAAAAAACTAAGAAACTTACTAGTCATATTTAGAATTCTTAAAAGAATTGCCCACCTCACCATCACCATAGCTCTGCCCTGATCACGTATGCTTTCTCTTCCCACTCCAATACTGTTAGAACTAATAGATGTAATTTTGTGTAACGACAGTTCTAACTTATGCCTCATCAGGAACAGACCGTAGAATATGTGGAATACTACAAGCTATTTATTGACTAGATTAGGAATTCTTACTTTCAAATAATAAATTCCTGGAGTTTTCTTCCAAAATCTTACCATAATTTATAATTGGGAATAATATCATATCATATATTCTGATTTAATTGATTGATTAAAAATATTAACCAATTATTGACCAAAAGTGAGTTAGTTAATTAAGATACCAATCAATACCAGGAATTAATCTTGTGGATCACATATGCCTTTAAGGAGGCAAGTTTTACATTCTCCTATTTAGTCCAAATATAATGGTCAAATAACTCAATAAGTGATAAGAAATTTAATGGAATAGTCGATAGGTCATAATTTGTTGTTAAATTTATAATTATTTTTTCCTTGATTTTAGTCAAATCTTATTTTAATTGATAGATTTTACTTGTGCCAATTGTAGGAAAATGAGCAAAATGTGATAAAAGGGGTAATTTTCCAAGAATTACTGGCAAGTCTAGAGAAGACGGGATTCACGCATGGCAGTTTCCTAATTCAAGCCGAAGACTTACGAAGCATGTTTCCAAATATAGTTGAGAAACATCTTAGATTATTAGGAAATATCTTCTTTTAGGAAAATGAGGAAGTTCAATGTATTTTCGAAACTAGAAAATAGGAAAAGAAAAGGCCGGCTCCCGTTTGATTACTACTTCTTAGGGAAGAGAAGAGGAGGCCGGCAGACTAGTAGTCGTATTCTTTTCCTTCTTTTCGGCCGCAGGAGACAATGAGAAACATTCTCTTCTTCTTCATGATGGGGAGCTAAATTCCCTTTTTCTAGTCGAAGGTCAATTTGAGAATTCGATTCCAAACATTTGTGAGATTGAACTATTTTATTTATTTCTTTTATTCATTGGTATTTGTACGTTTTCTAATTTAATTTCTTATGATTGTTATGTTATTTGAATGTCGAGGGGCCGATATTCGAATTAACCTAATAATCTACTGCCAGATTAATTGATTGAATCCGTAATTGTTCAATTGATTAATACCAGTAGCGACTAGCGTGATTGGTTTCATGTTAGGGAAACGTATGATCTAACTTAAACGAACCCTCGTAGCATGTTTGTTGGTTAGAATTGGGCTTTTCTAATTCTTATTGCAATCAAGAAATTAAATCCTATGATCGTACTTAGGGTTATTTCTTGGTTAGGGAAATAGTTAATGGTTGTACCTTGGCTATCGAAAAAGTAAGGAAAGACTAGTCGTTTATCACGTGTATGATAACTGTAACCAATCTATTAATGATTAATTAAATTATTTTTATATTGATGATCAGTTGAATGGATCGTGTCTGAAAAGTTGCACCTTTGGTTAGAGTTGTACTTATTATTGATTAATTCCTGTTATTTTCGTTAGTTGTTTCATTAGTTGGTTAATTAATTATTTTATATTTTCTAAAACCCCCTATACTCTGAATTCTAGAAGAAACGAATTATCCCCAATTCTTGTAGATTCGACCCTACTCATCGCTATATACAAAATTTGTATTTTTCTCGAGTAGCTATTTATTATTGTACAGGCTCGATACCTGTCAATAGCCATAAGTCTTTAATATCACCCAAAAAATTCAAGAGTTATGTAATAGTTATTTAGTCAAAAATGGTGGCATAAGAATATAATAACTAGATCAGTCTTTATGGTGCGTTAAATTATAACATAGATCATGTTAGGTTGGATTGTAAGTAGGAGGTCTTTGGTTCAAAACCTCAGACTTAAAAAAATAGAAAAAATTTAAATTTTCATTATGAAAGATTTTTTTATCTCTCACTATTTTAAGGATAACTTAATCTAAAAAAATTGGATAACTTAATCTGTAATTCCAGGTGGGTTTAACTTTATGTGTTTATTTAACAAGGAATTATTCAAGTGATTGAATTAAGGAGGAGGGATGGGTTGAGTTGTTCCGAGAAGGGAGTGTAAATAAGAGAATTCGAGTTTGAACTCTCCCATTTACACTAAATTAAAAAAAAAGTGATTGAATTAAGGACTTTTAGTCAACATATAGTTGACTTCTTCACAACTTTGTATACTTAGGAGGCAAGTCTTTGTAGTCCTTAGTTTGAGAAACAACCTAAACTACAAAAAAAAAAAACAACTATACTTCTTGGGACGTCAAGTTTTCTAGATGTCTCACAGCGATGAAACATTTACCCTTGAATTGATTTTTCACTTTTTGTTTGTTATGGTTTTAGCTTACCCTTAACTAAATATACGTTCCTTTGCCATCCAAAAACGAAATTAACTAAATAATCTCTCAGCATTAATTTTTCAAATAGAACAACCCAAATAGATTATCCCAATTTCGCTTTGCTTCTGCAGGACGGCTTACTTGACGAAAAGAAAATTCAATCTCAGCCTTCCTTGATCGCGAGACGAAAGTCGTCCTTTCGTTTTCACAGGTCGATTGTTGACTTCCAGGTCCTATCGGTCTTTTTCCAAACGAAATATCCGAGCAATTACTCTACCCGTGGCTTACAAAAGAAGCAGTAAGAAGAGAAAAGACGACAAAAAGTATACCTAGATTTGATAATTTAACCGTG